CCTCTGGATGGATCCCATCCCTCAGGTCTGTCAACTGCAGTACTCAGTGCAGATGACTTGGTGTCATCTGCAAACATGGTGAGGGTGCCTCAATCCCACTATGTTATTGTTGAAGGTACTGAACAGCAGTGATATCAATATAAAATCTGGTGATGAAATTTAATTGCTCTTTGACTCAGTAAAAGAAATTTCTGCCCGAGGTGGGACTGAAAAGCAAGATTTGTTTTCTGAAGATGCAGGAAAGGAAGAGAACGAGCTGAGGGTCTGAACCAGCAAAGGAGCCTTAAGGAAGCACAACCAGAGGGTCTGCAGCCACCGCCAACCAGCCCAAATGTAACCTGCAGGGTGCAGATGATGCACGGTGGCTTCAGGCTCCTCTTCCCGCTCATCCTGGAGGGAATCATCATGGAAGGAGGCGTCTTCGCTGCTGCCTTCCAGCCCGTTCCGCAGGGCTGCCCGCATGTTGAGAGCCACGATGGTGTCCTCCAGGTTGTTCTGCTGCCTGTGGGCAGTGTTCTCCGGGGTCTGTGGGATGGGCTTGGCGATGGGGTTGGTGTAGAACCGCGTCACCTCGTGGTGATCCTCCTCCTCCTCTCGCTCGCTGTCTTGCCTGTGGTTTTCATCGGGAGGGACCGACAGAAAGAACCTGAAGAAATGAAGTTGAATTATTTAGTTCTAAGGGACTTAGGTTACCACAAAATTCTGGTATCTTCTCCTATAAAAGCCAAAGTGGAGAAGCACATGTTAGATGCGGTGCTGAGGGACATGGTTTAGTGGTGACCTGGCAGTGCCGGGTTAATGGTTATACTCCATCTTAAAGGTCGCTTCCAACCACAACAATTCTATGAATGTCAGCATCAGCAGACTGAAGTGTGCCATGATCCAGTGGTGCCCAGCGACAGGACAAGGGGCAACGGGCACCAACTGGAACCCAGGAGGTTCCACCTGAGCAGGAGGAGAAACTTCTTTGGTGGGAGGGTGGCCGAGCCTGGAGCAGGCTGCCCAGAGAGGCTGTGGAGTCTCCTGCTCTGGAGAGATCCCAAACCCACCTGGATGTGATCCTGGGCACCCTGCTATGGGTGACCCTGTTGGAACAGGGGGCTTGGATGAGATGATCTCCAGAGGTCCCTTCCAACCCCACCATACTGGGATTATGCCCCTTTGCTCTGCCCTTGTTAGACCATCTCTGCCATTCTGCATCAAACCTGGGGCTCCCACTAGAAGGCAAACAGGAGTTAAGACCAGGAGAGGAGGACCATGATGGCTGGGTGACTAGTGCATGTGTCCTGTGTGGAGATCTTGAGAGAAATTAGCTGCTCAGCCTGGAGTCAGCCTGCAGCAGGCTGTAATACCACCCAGGACAATATTCAGGCTCTCCACAGATGTGCGGCAGAAGGATGTGAAACAGTCAAATTAAAACCAGGAAGTTAACGAGGAGAGTCAAGCACTGAACAGGGACCCAGAAAGGCTGAGCAATCTCTGTCCACAGAGGTTTGAGACACCCAACTGGACAAAGCCCCCAGCAGGCAGGTCTGAATTCAGCATTGAGACTGCTTGAGGAACAGAGACCTCCCAAGGTCACTCCCAACCTGAACAGTTCATCTATTTGCGAACCAGGCTGTCACAGGCTTTTGTGTCCACAAGAACAGGATGATTAAGTCTTGAAGGCACCACAATGGCATCAAATGTGAGGGATCTATGGTGACAGTGACTCAAAACAGCAGCTTCAGAGAGCTCCCTGTTGTACCTGACTGCTGGCAGCACAACTAACAAATGTTTCTGTCCCATTAGGAACAGCCCAGGACAGGACCAAGGTGAGCAGGAACAAGGTTCCTCACTTACAACATCAGTTCTGATTATATTTAAAGCTCATAGAAGTAAAAGTGTGGAGCTGGACAAGAGCTTTTCCAGCTTCTGATTTAAAACGGAAATACCAAACCAAAAAAAAAGCTTATTGGAAACAGAGCCATAGATTTCTAGAGCAAATAGACATTCAGATGTCTGGGGGGAAGACAGGGCCTTGGAGATACCTCCTCATCTTAAAGTAGAAGACACATTATGAGACACTGGGATAAGCAGAGCTTCCATGCAGTTCCCGCATTACCAAGAGAGACTAAGCAGAAGCAGAGGTTCTTCTCAACTCAGTGTCAGGTTTACCATGCAACTGTCTGGGTTGGAAAAGAGCTTTCAGACTGAGCCCAACTGCTACCCAGCACTGCCAGGTCCCCACTAATGTATGTCCCTCACCACCACATCTCCATGGTTTGGAAACCCCTCCAAGAATGGGTATTCCACCACTGCCCTGAGCAGCCTGGGATGGGCCGTTCCTCAGGGCCAACCTAATGGGATGGGCCATTTCCTCTTGTCCTGTGGCTTGTTCCTTGGGAGAAGAGCCTGACCCCCACCTGGCTCCAGCCTCCTGACAGGGAGCTGTGGAGAGCCAGAAGGTCTCCCCTGAGCCTCCACAGCTCCAGGCTCAGCACCCCCAGCTGCTCCTCCCCACACCTGGGCTCTAGACCCTTCCACAGCAGCTTTGTTGCCCTTCTCTGGCCATGCCCCAGCCCCGCCAGGTCCTTCTGGGAAGGACGGGCCCAAAACTGACCCCAGAATTTGAGAGGCAGCCTTCCCAGTGCCGGGGGACAATCCCTGCCCTGCTCCTTCTGACCACACTGGTGCTGACCCAAGCCAGGATGCTGCACCTTCCTCAAGAAATTACCTAGTTACTCACTACAGGGAATGAAGAGAGACAAACATACCTAGAGAAGAAGTCATTCCTCTTTGAAGTCCTCATTTTGGACAGAATGAATGAGTAGGTGACCACACAGGAAGAATATACAGCTAGTGTAAGAGGAAGCGAATCTCTAAATAGGTCAACCTGCTTCCAGTGAAGAACTAAGATGACACCCCTGAACATAAGTACCTGTCCTAGTGCTGCTCATCGAGACAGGCACCACCAGTTTGCATTCCCTGTAGGCACCAACACCCCTGTGATGACCCAACATACCTGTCTCCATTCTGCGGGTACTCCGAGGGAGATGCCAGGTCTTCACTCTCACGATTGACAGGTGAGAACAGGTTGCTGCTGTTGAGGTTCTTCAACACCAGCTTTTTGATGCTCTTCCTAAATAAAGCAGCAGAAAGGAATCTGGATATACTCACTGCATAAATATATTTATCTCTAAATCAATATAAATATAATTAAGCTATATATAAATATAGCTTAATTCCAGGAGCTAGCTGTGGAGGACCTGCTCCCATGTGCCCTGCAGCAGCTAAGATACTAAAAACTCTTTTTGGAATTCCATTCAAGGCTTCAGTTTAGAAAAGGCATAACTCATTTAAGGCTTCAAAACCTAAGCTCAGCAAAGCGCAGTATTATCTGTTTTACAAAACTGAGCTTCTCCAGCAGCAGCCTAGAGCCCTGCAGAGTCTGGCCCAGACACGCAGGTTCCTCTTTGCTACAGGGTCACTTCAGGAGCAGATCAGTGGCCATTGCCTGCAATGTGAAGAGCACCAAACATCTCTGCCAACTACAAAGTAGTCCACTTAAGCACCCCTTTGTTCTGAGCTCTTGTTCTGACAGTGTTTTTCAATAAACCACCAAATAATTCCATGCTCTGCTCTCTCCCTGGGACAGGCAAATTGTTCCTCAGATGCTTCAGACCAAATTAAAGACAACCCAAGCCGACAACAAGTTACAACATCTTTTTTACATATCAATGTTCAGAGGCACTTTCAATGACTGATTTAACTTTCACCAAAGGTTGGGATTTTGTTGTTGTCTTTAACCCAAAGCTTCCCAAGCCCTTTTTCAATGGAATCACTGCTGGTACTCTTGGAGACTGAACCCAGAAGCTTCAGTAGCTCCACAGCAGCATTACTCACTTCTCACAGGAACACCTGAACATCTGAAATAAAACCTGTGCTGAGGGGTGAAAACAGCAGAAATCTGCCTTCCTCCTGGGTGCACGTTCAAACCCAATGATGCTTCTACTTCGGAAGCACCAAGTATTACATCAAACCATCTTTCCTTCTAGTATCCCTAAACTTAAGTGACATCTCACTCCAGTCATGGGACAACCTCATTTTACAGCTTATTTGGCAATAAGTTGCAAGCTGAGCATTTTCATCTCCTATACAGAAAACATTCCTAGCCAAATTTTACCCAAAACGTGCTATTGCCATTTTGTCTTTGAACCAGGCTACAACACACTCCTGAAATTTCAGACAGTACAGGAGTTTACATCCTCTGACGAGGAGATTCTTGCAGCACGTCTTCCCCCCAACACAAAGCAAAGGCAAAACTCACTTGGGCATGAAGGCGCCGTTGCAGAGGGAGGGCTCGTCGTCGTCCAGCCCGTCGAAGAGCTGGGACTTGGCCGAGCCGGCCGACTGCAGAGCCTTGGGGCGCACGCGCGTGGCCGGGCGCGGGGTCAGCTTGTAGTGGGTGGGGGTTGTCAGGGCCTTCTGAGCCGCGGGAAAACAGCCGCTGCAACGAGACGGAGCGTTGGCGGGGAACGGGCACTGGGACCGTGCTTAACGGAGGGGTCAGGGGAGAGGGGGACATGGCAGAGACACGAAGCTGCTGACAACGGGTCATGGAAACAATGCAAGTACAAAAAGTCTCCAGTCGCTCAGGGATGGGCCACTAAGAATATACAGACATAAAGCCATAAAATTATTTTGGTTAGAAGAGACCTTTCAGATCATGGATTCCAACTGTTCCCCAGCACTGCCAGGTCCCCACTGACCCATGTCCCTCAGCACCACATCTCCACGGCTTGGAAACCCCTCCAGGGATGGGGACTCCACCACTGCCCTGGGCAGCCTG